TCAATGGAAGCCGGGCTAATTTCAGTACCATCTTCAGGACAGCATGATGTATATTTCAAGTTTAACGATTGCAGTTTTTACTTGAAGTATCTAATAACCTCTAAAGCACGAATTACAGCGTTTGTAATAAATGTGCCAGGTTTTGTAAGTTCAAGCCCAATCATTGCGTATATTTTTTCTTCCCTTTTAAAATCATGTCAGTTTAGCATTTGCCTAAATTTTCACGAAACGGGCTAACTTGAAAAGAAGCCTGGCTAATTTCAATAGACGCCAGGCTAATATCAATGGAAGCCGGGCTAATATCAATGGAAGCCGGGTTAATTTCAATAGAAGCCGGGCTAATTTCGACAGAATCTTCAGGAGAGCATGATGTATATTTTGAAGTTTTACGATTGTAACTTTTACTTGAAGTATCTAATATCCTCTATAAAGCACGAACTACAGCGTTTGTACTAAATGTGCCAGGTTTTGTAAGTTCAAGCCCAATCATTGCTTATATCTTTGCTCGCCATTTAACAAAACTAGAAATACATGCATGCATGCATGCAGCAACCCCTCGGCTATATTTTCCGAACATTGACTTACATGAAGTACTGTGTTAGTAATTGATCAACGCTGAACGCAGGCTCGCGTTTACTTCAGTGTTGTCATGGCAACACGAGAATCTTAAATTTTATCCCCGAGCCGACGGCGCAAAGCGCCGTGCGAGGGTACTAATTCCCCCCGGGTATTTACACCGTTGGAAACGAAAGCATTAGCGAAGTCTAATGTTCATCAATGATCGCGGGCGTGGCTCGCCAACGGTGTTGGGGAGTTGGGGGGGGGGGGTTCATCCACACTGATCTCAAAAACATGGCGGACTGTCATAAATAGCGGACACTGATTGGTCCAATTTAAAGCTTGCATTATAACGACTGCATGACGACAGCGAAATAGCAAACATTTGATGATTGATAAATTTCTTGCAAATATATTTCATTTTTGCTCGCATTTTTGCAAGATTTGGTAAATTTCAAAAGCTTTCCCAGAAAGAAAGGGCGGAAGAATCGGCTAAAATAAGGGAGCCGACGTTAACGAAGGTAAGTTTGTTTTAAATATCAATCAATCAATCAATCAAAAACTTTATTTTAACACGGTGAAATCTACAGTATAACATTTTACAAGATAATTAACTAACATATAATTACAAATTACGCTATGACAATTAATATACACTTTAAACATATCCAAACACTAAAATACTGATTTACAAGATTGCTGTGCAGGAGTCCATCTCATATAGAGAACAAATTGTCAATTGCTCTTTTGAATTGACTTAGGGAGCATGTTGTTCGTACATTTTGTGGTAACTCGTTCCATAAAACTGCCCCGCTATAACTGGAACTTCGCTTACCGTAGTTGCATGGTTCTTGGTTTTGGTACAAATAAGGTGTGTTCAGAGTTTCTTAAGTTATATTCTGTGCTGCGAGATTCAAACAATTCACGGAGATAAAACGGAGTTAGATCGTTAATTGTTTTAAACATTAGTATAGCCTTATGCTTTTTCCGACGTGTTAAAAGATTATCCCAGCCCAGCTTATTAAAAAGGTCGCTTGAGCTAGCATCATATTGAGATTTAGTGATGACTCTCGCTGCCCTATTTTGCAATTTTTGCAATTTGTCATTTAACGTGACATTCAAACCATCCCAAACTGAGCTACAATAATCAAAGTGCGGTTGAATTAATGCACCATAAATTTTCAGAGCAGTGTTTGTATCTATAAATTGGCGTATCCGTTTTAGAGCTCCAATAGCTGATGCAATCTTTTTGGAAATATTTTCGACATATCGTGCCCATGTAAGATGTTCATCGATTTGCAAGCCTAAGGATTTCGTTTCGTTGACTCTCTTAATTGACTTTCCGTCGATCCTATTATCATGAATTCCGTTTTAGCTACGTTAAAATTCAGTCTATTAGCTAGTAGCCATTGATGAAGATTTTTCAATTCAGAGTTTAATATTTGCTCAAGCTCTGTGACGGAATTTGCTGCGATGCTAATATTAGTGTCGGCGGCAAACATTCTTGGAGAGGCTCTGTCGAGACAATTAGGCAAATCATTTAGGTATATTAAAAACAATAGAGGTCCCAAGTTACTGCCTTGTAGTACCCCACAGGTTATTTTAGCAGTTTCAGATAACTCACCATTGACGCAACATCTTTGACTGCGGTTGCTTAGGTATGATTCGAAGAATTTGATACCATTTTCACAACCATAAATTCGTAACTTTCGTAAAATAATGGTGTGATCAATAGTATCAAATGCTTTTTTAAGATCGATAAAAATTACTCCGTTAAGAAGGCCTTTATCTACATTTATTGACCAATTATCCGTGGCTTCTATTAGGGCAGTTAGTGTACTGTGCTGCAATGATCGAAATCCAGATTGAGACGTAGATATTAGATTGTTGTTATTCAGATACTCATACAACTGCTCAAAAGTAAACTTTTCAAAAATCTTTGCTACTACAGAAATAACAGATATTGGTCGATAGTTGTTCATGTCGTCTTTTTTACCTTTCTTAAAAATTGGAGTAACTCTCGCTAGCTTCCAGTCTGTAGGAAAGATGCTTGTACTTATAGTCTTATTAAATATTTGAGTTAAAGATGGGGCAACTATTTCAGCTGAAATTCTTAAAAGTTTGCACGGTATTTTATCAAGACCAGCTGCTTTCCTTTCGTTAATTGCTTTTAATTTTTTGTAAACTGCATATACAGTGAGGGATTTCATTGAAAATGTGGTTTCAGCAGGCACAACATATACGTCAGGCTCTACGGTAGAGAGTGGTATATCGGATGCTAAATTTTCACCCACATGAGCAAAATGAGAATTAAATGTCTCCGCTATTTGCTTGGGTGTATATATAGTTTCTTCACCCACTTTGATATTGGATATAGTTTTGTGGCTAGAGGCATTACGAGAGTTTAATTCGTTAATAAGTTTCCAGGTTGATTTTGGATTTTTCTTATTAGCCTCAAGGGTTAACCTTAAAATATTGACTTTTTGCACCTTTAATTAATTTCATTATTCGTGCTATTTCGTGAATGTTTATATTGTTGCCAAATTAATGGGTCACCGGTCTGCTTAGCTTTCTTTTTCAGAGAATCTCTCTTACGCATTTTTTGCTTTAATTGGCTGGTGATCCAGGGGGGAT